TCATTATTTTGGGAATATCTTGGAAGGGGCTAGGTGGACAAAAATATGTGTCAAGATTTTTTGTAGAGAATTAAATTTCCTGTAAAAAATGTGTGACATTTATCTCTAAATCCACTCCCTTTCAAGATTTTTCCAAAATAGTGCAGATGCTTTTTACCAACCCTTTGTTTTTTTTCACTTTTCTTAATGGATGGACATAAATTTCGATTATCTTCGTAATTATTACCTCTATAAGAGAACACTAGTTGAAATTTTTCATCAGAAAGTTCCTCCTCCATAAAGGTGGAATGTTTTTTCCTAGATTCCCTTGACCTCGAGACGATTGAAAAAATGTCAAGAGTCTTTCGAAAATTTCAAAAAACTGAAATTTTACCTTCAACGTCGCAAACTCAGACTATTTACCGATTTCATCTTGTCCTCTGGATGCCGTGCCACCCCCGCTATGCACCTCTACGAATCCAGCAAAAAAATCACCGCGGGAAGCTATACCTCCATATAGCATTGCTCCACCTTCGCCGAACGTAGAAGCAATCTTTTGATCTCTCTCGGACAGCGAAGTTATCACTGTATCTTTTGCCCTGAATGATGAAGGAGTCAAATTAAACTCCAAACTTCAGATATGAAAACTGTCCGCTATCAGTTGATGAATCCAATCCCCCGGACAATACTCTAAATTCGCAAGAAGAAAGAGGCAAAGCTAAGGCAATGAGAAACTGTTCGGCACAGGCGACTGAAACCTAAATGAAAGAGGAAGGAATATTTCACCTCTTCCTTTCATTCCTTCAGACCCCATTTTGCCCTTTATATCTCCTCATGAGCAGAACTGGAGGAATGATTAATGGGTCCAACAGAAGGCGGGATTTTCTGGTTTTCTGGTGCTTGAAGATCTTCAAAGATCTTTTTGAAGTCCAATTTCAATCTTTTTGAGATATTCTTTTTACGTTGGTCTTTCATTCAACATCATGGGTGATGGAACCTGTGTGGGACTGATTGGAAGCATCGATATACGTCAAGATTGTTGTGAAGGATCATTGGTTTTTGACAATCTGATGATCCATCAGTGATTATCTTGCAAAGGAAATGCCACGAAAACCACAAAAGTTGATTCCAAAACTTTCTGACGACTGATATTGATACCCGTCAGAATCGGATTATGGACTCAACAGAGGTGTTACGTCATGAACGAGGCACATCCGATGAGATGGGAATAGACAACTATTCAATTCATGAAGTACCGTTGGCGTTTTTCGAAACTATTTATTTATAGGAATAAGATTTCCAGAAAAAAACGGACTTGATGAGTTTCACTAGGCCTAAATTTCTCCGGATGAAAGAAACTCTAAGGCATTCATCAGTCGTTTAGACACTGGAGGAGGTATATGAGATGCTTGGGTTATAGTCAAATGAGCGGAAACCCCTTTGGCACCGGTGGTAGTTTTCTGGTGCTTCAAGATCTTTAAAGATCGTTTTGACGCCCAATTCCAATGTTTTTGAGATATTCTTTTTACGTTGGTCCTTGATTTAACATTATAGGTAATGGAACCTGTGTGGGACTGATTGGAACCATCGATATATGTCAAAATTCTTGTGAAGGATCATTGGTTTTTGACAATCTGATAATCCATCAATGATATGCAAAGGAAATGCCACGAAAACCACAACAGTTGATTCAAAAACTTTTTGACGACTGATATTGATACCCGTCAGAATCGGATTATGGACTCAATAGAGGAGTTGCGTCATGAACGAGTCACGTCCGATGAGATGGGAGTAGACAACTATTCAATTCATGAAGTACCGTGGGCGTTTTTCGAAATTATTTATTTATACGAATAAGATTTCCAGAAAAAAAGGACTTGATGAGGTTCGTTAGGCCTAAATTTCTCCGGATAAAAGAAACTCTAAGACATTCATCGGTCGTTTCGAAACTGGATGAGGTATATGAGGTGCTTGGGTTGTAGTCAGACGAGAGGAAACCCCCTTGGGCACCGGTGGTACTTTTCTGGTTTTCTGGCGCTTCAAGATCTTTAAAGATCTTTTTAAAGCCCAGTTTCAATCTTTTTGAGATATTCTTTTTATATTGGTCATTGATTCAACATCATAGGTGATGGAACCTGTGTGGGACTCATTGGAAGCTTTTTGTGAAGAATCATCGGTTTTTGAAAATCTGATCAATGATCTGCAAGAAAATGCAAAAAAAAATTCATAGTTGATTCGAAAACTTTCTGACGAACGAGATTGATACCCGTCAGAATTGGATTATGGGCTCAATAGAGGAATTGCGTCATGAACGAGTCACGTCCGATGAGATGGGAATAGACAACTATTCAATTCATGAAGTACCGTGGGCGTTTTTCGAAACTATTTATTTATACGAATGAGATTTCCAGAAAAAAANCAATGAGAAACTGTTCGGCACAGGCGACTGAAACCTAAATGAAAGAGGAAGGAATATTTCACCTCTTCCTTTCATTCCTTCAGACCCCATTTTGCCCTTTATATCTCCTCATGAGCAGAACTGGAGGAATGATTAATGGGTCCAACAGAAGGCGGGATTTTCTGGTTTTCTGGTGCTTGAAGATCTTCAAAGATCTTTTTGAAGTCCAATTTCAATCTTTTTGAGATATTCTTTTTACGTTGGTCTTTCATTCAACATCATGGGTGATGGAACCTGTGTGGGACTGATTGGAAGCATCGATATACGTCAAGATTGTTGTGAAGGATCATTGGTTTTTGACAATCTGATGATCCATCAGTGATTATCTTGCAAAGGAAATGCCACGAAAACCACAAAAGTTGATTCCAAAACTTTCTGACGACTGATATTGATACCCGTCAGAATCGGATTATGGACTCAACAGAGGTGTTACGTCATGAACGAGGCACATCCGATGAGATGGGAATAGACAACTATTCAATTCATGAAGTACCGTTGGCGTTTTTCGAAACTATTTATTTATAGGAATAAGATTTCCAGAAAAAAACGGACTTGATGAGTTTCACTAGGCCTAAATTTCTCCGGATGAAAGAAACTCTAAGGCATTCATCAGTCGTTTAGACACTGGAGGAGGTATATGAGATGCTTGGGTTATAGTCAAATGAGCGGAAACCCCTTTGGCACCGGTGGTAGTTTTCTGGTGCTTCAAGATCTTTAAAGATCGTTTTGACGCCCAATTCCAATGTTTTTGAGATATTCTTTTTACGTTGGTCCTTGATTTAACATTATAGGTAATGGAACCTGTGTGGGACTGATTGGAACCATCGATATATGTCAAAATTCTTGTGAAGGATCATTGGTTTTTGACAATCTGATAATCCATCAATGATATGCAAAGGAAATGCCACGAAAACCACAACAGTTGATTCAAAAACTTTTTGACGACTGATATTGATACCCGTCAGAATCGGATTATGGACTCAATAGAGGAGTTGCGTCATGAACGAGTCACGTCCGATGAGATGGGAGTAGACAACTATTCAATTCATGAAGTACCGTGGGCGTTTTTCGAAATTATTTATTTATACGAATAAGATTTCCAGAAAAAAAGGACTTGATGAGGTTCGTTAGGCCTAAATTTCTCCGGATAAAAGAAACTCTAAGACATTCATCGGTCGTTTCGAAACTGGATGAGGTATATGAGGTGCTTGGGTTGTAGTCAGACGAGAGGAAACCCCCTTGGGCACCGGTGGTACTTTTCTGGTTTTCTGGCGCTTCAAGATCTTTAAAGATCTTTTTAAAGCCCAGTTTCAATCTTTTTGAGATATTCTTTTTATATTGGTCATTGATTCAACATCATAGGTGATGGAACCTGTGTGGGACTCATTGGAAGCTTTTTGTGAAGAATCATCGGTTTTTGAAAATCTGATCAATGATCTGCAAGAAAATGCAAAAAAAAATTCATAGTTGATTCGAAAACTTTCTGACGAACGAGATTGATACCCGTCAGAATTGGATTATGGGCTCAATAGAGGAATTGCGTCATGAACGAGTCACGTCCGATGAGATGGGAATAGACAACTATTCAATTCATGAAGTACCGTGGGCGTTTTTCGAAACTATTTATTTATACGAATGAGATTTCCAGAAAAAAAATGGACTTGATGAGATTCGTTAGGCCTGAATTTCTCCGGATGAAAGAAACTCTAAGGCATTCATCGATCGTTTAGACACTGGATGAGGTATATGAGGCGGTTGGGTTATAGTCAAACGAGAGGAAACCCCCTTGGGCACCGGTGGTAGATGTTTATGACTTATAAGTCGGCCATCTTGCCTCTTTGCCATCACATATTCAAACGTGTGCACATATGAGGAGCTTGGCAATACGTATGTGGCATCATTCGCCTTTTCTGCCTTGGGTTGTACAGTCGATACTAAAAATGAGCATTGGGTAATGGATTCCTCTGGTCTGATTGATTCAACCATCCCTGGAGATTAATGAAACCAGGTTTGTCGGGAGTTTTTGGTTCCAAAACACAGGATGACGACCTCATTACCACCGAAGAGCCTCGGCAATGGTCGGATTTCATCGGAGGAATTCAACCGGAGAACTATCGGCGGTAATTAGATCGTCAACATGTGTTTGGGAGCGGAAATTCTTTAGGCTTTCTAATATTGGATGAATAATCGCTTATCATCTTTCATTCAGCTGAAGTATATTATTTGGAAAATTTGGGAAAGACGGCTAAACAGGAGAATTTCATGTATTCCCGTGGCATCTACATCCTACGCATGTGTTGGGACTTTAGACCACTTGTCCGTATCAACGTTAAATCGTCTTGTTTTCCATCTTTTTTTTGTTCACACTCAGGCAAATTCCGCCCACTATAATTGTATATAACAGTATCGGAACCTTCGACCGCGTCGTCTGGCGACCTCGGGAGGAAAGTGAAACATCGAATTGTGTCATACAACCATTCATATCATTCATCCATCGTTTAACACGACTGTTAACATCAACTGCTGTAAAAATTCCAAGACATTTGTTTGGGCTAACACTTACCTTGATGCGCCTGCTGTTCATCCTGCTGACATTGTCCCGAATGATTGGGATTTGGATTAAACTGAATTTGACCGGTATGGGGATTGAGAAATGTTGATGGCAATTGTCTACTGACTGACTTGGCCAATTCACCACCAGCAAGACCAAAAATAGCAGCGAGCTCCTGCATTGTTGATTCAACGTATTCCCGCATATCTTCCATGGGTTTGCGTTCTTCTCTGTCTGTTTCAGGCTCAGTCTCTAGTATACGATCTTCGTCAAAATGAGGATCGTGATCGTCTAGTCTACTTGGCTCTTGATCCAAGTCACTTTTCTCGGATGACTCGGATGCTGGACTTCTCGCCTAATGAGGGAAAAGGAGATTGATTAGGTGGTGATGATGATGAGGACATCAAAGAACTTTTTTGCGGTTCTAACAAGACAACATGAAATACGTCTACAATTATCTCGACACCAAGTGCTTGTACGGAAAAAGGCTACAGAAACTTTTTGTGCAGAATTTTCCGCTCTACAGAAAAGGATTTTTGGCGTTTTCTCCTCAACCCACCTGTTCTCAAGATAATTGAGAATTTCTGGAGGAGTAAATAGTTACCTCAACAACACCAGGTGAATAAGGCTTCTGCGACCTGAGCTGTTCAATAATAAACTTGTGTCTCAACGAATCACTGCTGTCCTCATCACCATCCGAGGAAGGTGGCCTAGTGGCAACAGACAGATCCATCGGACTAGCCTCATTATTATTAAGTCTCTGTTTTGGTCTATCATCGTTGGTACTCAACAGAGTTTTACGTTCATACTCAACAACGTCATTTGAATTAGTCTCATCAATTGTCTCAGAATCGTCCTCCTGCTCGTCTCTATCAGACTCATCGTCCGATACTTCAGCCATTCTACTGCTAATTGGCTTGAAATTTTTACGTTTGTTGCGGGGTTTCTGCATACTTGACAATTGATCATGTAATTGATGGCTCGGCGGCTCAAATTGCGAGTCGCTGCTGTCCTGATCCCCTGTTGTGCTCCGTCGGGAGGTGGCGTAGTTGTAGACCGAGTCGGATAGCATATCCGCTGGTAATGAAAGAGGACAAGTTGTTTTTAATTGATATTTTATGGTTTTAGAGGAGTGGAAAAGTTCAAGTCACATGATAACAGTATGACGAAGTCTGACATTTCGACTTGAATCGTTTCACACCTCATTTAATGTGACTTTGAAACGATTTCCGGATATTTTTCAAGGGGCTGGGGAGAATTTTTGGGACTTACTAGGGCCATACGGACTCGTTACTGCTGACATCTCGGGGGTGCGAGAGGAACTCGGGTGCTTCAGCGCATCCTGAAATCAACAGTAAGCTGGATTTAACAAAAGCAGATTTGATGGCTCTGATAGATCAGAAGTCGATTTAAATTATTATGAACATGACAGCGTTTCACAATACGATCGGAGTCCATTCCAATGACATCATCCATACTTATTCGTGACTGGATAATGAGAAATTATCGAATTTGTATTTCAGGCGTGATTTGTCATTGATGAATTTGGAATGTCGAGGTGATTTGTCTCATAGGAGGGACGTTCTATTTTTATTGAAAATCTCATTCAACTTTTTTTCTTAATAAAAAAAAACAGGCCCTAGCTTTCTAATGACTAAATAACATTTACATAATTTCATAAATGTTTTAAAATTTTTTTTGAACGAACATATTGCGCTTTTTCCTCGAATGGAATAATTCTGATTTCATGGATTTACATTGCACTTATATTTTTTCATGAGAGGTAAGTACATTGTCTTCGATGGTTGGATGACGTTATCTGATCGTCGAGTGTACGAAAGCAGAACGGAATCAAGGAAATAAATTTTTCTCTCTCCTTATGTACAATTTTTTTTTCTTCTTTATGAGAAAGTAAAACGCGAACTCTCTGATTCGACTATACAGAAGGGATAATTAACATCTGTTACAGTACCTACGGAGTTGTTGCCGCGGAGTCGTGGGGGCCGCCCCGTTTCAATCCCCACCATTGGGTTTATGGGGCGGACCTTGAATACATTAGTGAATAGGTGCATGTACTCGCGAATGCGTAACACAGTATGAGGGAGATGGAAAAATTATTCTGAGGATTTAGAGACAATGGCAGTTTTTTTTCAATTCGGGGAGAGCCCCCATTGACGGGAAAAATTGAATTTCGTTGATTGTCTCGGTAATGAGTGAAGGTAGAAGAAAATATGAAGAAAAATATTTTTGATGAGAATTTCATGGGCTAGGAAAAATGTCCTCTAGGGGGTTCACCAAAGTTCAATAATTAACGAGGTATTTGCATAATTAATGAAAATTGCATGTTTACGCAGTTGTCATCGGTTATTCTTGTTGATTATGGGATTATCGCCATAATTATTGAGTCTACGTGAAAACACTATTGTAACTTTCTGTGAAGGATTTTGTAGTCTACAAAAAATGTCCTATAGTATTTTTATCTAACTTCACTCGTCAACGAGATATCTGCATAATTAAAAAAATTCTCGTGTTCGTAATTTTTTTTAATACTCTCATTAATTATCCAATTATCTCCTTAATTATTGAACTTGAGTGAAAATACCATCTGAACTTTTTGTAGAGAACTTCATGATCTACAATAAAGTCTTGTAGTGATTTCACCTAGTTTCAATAATTAGCAAGATATTTGCATAATTAAGAAAACTGTAATGTTCGCCAATTTATTTTTGATACTCTCATTAATTACACAATTATCTTCTTAATTATTGAACTTGGGTGAAAACACTATTCGAACTTTTTGTAAAGAATTTCATGATCTCCAAAAAAGGTCTTTTAGTGTTTTCACCTAGAACCCTTCATTTTAGAGATAATCACGATTTCCTCTTAACTGAAACCTAGAAAATAAAAAAAAGACAAATTCGGCCGAAGTGAATTTTTCTTTACGACTTTTTTAATGCACTATTTTTATCCCCAACCCGTTGATTTACCCAGAGCTTATCATTTCCACCGGTCGCCCTCGCATGTCCCGACACAAACCACTCCTATACCGACAATAATGATTCCGTCGAATAAAACGGAAATAAAAGAAGGTATTCTCCGCTTGAAATTGCGAATATTATGACTTCAATAATTTCTCAGAATTCTATGTTTTTCATTTTTTAATCTCGACATATCAAGTTACACTCTATCTCGCCGAGTTATTCAACGGTGTCAGTTTATTTATGTTAGATTTTCATTCATCTTTGTTGATGAGAAGGAAATAAATGCCATTTTTTTTTAAATTCCGATTGAACAGTTTTATTTTCTCGAGGTACACTCGACTTCCTAAAACACTCGACAACTCGTATCTTAAAATGGAATGCCAATTCCTAGTATAAAAGATGGACAGAAAAAAAGGTACGGAGAATGAAGGTGGAAGAAAGGCTGGGGGTCTGCGTTCCGATAAATAATATATTTTAAGCCGGACGAATTTGAATAATCTCTTCCCCGCGATGTGTTTCCAGGCACTCCAGAAGGCCCAGCAGAACCTCTTGAAAAACCGTTTCTGATGGGTTAAGTCAGTAAAACGTTACGAATATGTACAGTAATGAAAAAAAGAGATGGTGGAAATGGGGGAGAAAAAAATTTTAGAGGGAAATGAGAGGATGGGACTGGCAACATTATGCGTCGAGTGTTTGAGGAACGTCGAGAGGGGCCATGACTCGGTCTTTTTTTGGATTTCTTGATGGCGACTTTTGTAATTTTCTCACGATCATGAAATTATTATAAATTATTTGCAAAGGTTGGTGACCGGGAGGCCGTGGGTTGGTGATTAGACCCTTGTGACTCTTATTGAAAAAAAAAATCTTGAGACTAAAAAGGATTGAAGTAAAACAAAAAATCATTTAAATTTTTTTGAAAAAGTATTAAAAAAATAGATGTAATTATTTGTAATTGTTAGAAAAAGCTAATGAGGATTAGAAAGAGACCCTTGTGACCCCTTTTTTTAAATTCATGAGAGTAAAAAATGATTGAAATAAAAAAAAAGTTAAAAGATTGAAATTCTGAAATTTTGAAATTTTAAAATTTCACGTCAAGAGGGGCCATGAGTTGATCTTTTTAAATTGTTTGCAAAGATTGGGGATCGGGAGGCGATTAGACCCTTGTGACTTTTATTTTTTTTAAATCATGAGACTAAAAACGATTGAAATGAAAAAGAAAACCATTTTAACAATTTTGAAAAAGTAGAAAAAATGAAAAAAATCACAAATGTAATTATTGCACATTTTTGGAAAAGGTTAATGAGGATTGTAAAAGATGAGACCCTTGTGACGCGAATATTTTGAAATTCATGAATGTAAAAAATGATTGAAATAAAAAAAAAATTACCTAAAATTGTGAAATTTTAAAAGAAAAAAAAGGTTACCCTTATGATTCCAAGTTCCAACACATTTCTCCCACATTCTTGAAGGGATTTACGCGAGACCGAGGGATTAGTAAAAATTTCCAAAAGATATTTATTGCAGCCAAGTTGGGCAAAAAAATTCGTTTTAACCGGCACGAGGCGTCAAAAATAGAGCACGCAAACGACTCACTAATCTGGTTAGGTCTACTTAGCGTAACACTGACTATTTAGACCTGGATATATGGTTACGAATAAGTTGTCTGAAAGAGAGTGAGAGAGAGGGAGGAGCATTGAATATGCGAAAAGAGCCTATTGAGGAGTCTGGTTTCACAAAACTCGCTAAAACGTATTAACGAAGGTGGAACACCAACCGGAAAATTATTCCTCAATTCACAAAAAAAATCTTAAAACTTCAATTGATCATTCATCACTTCAACAAACCATTCCAATTTTCATATTCAAACAAAAACGCCGGATAACTCATCCCCAAGAGGATGCGTAACAACCAACAGCTTTCCCATTTCACCCTTCGCTCCCTTGAAAAAAATAAAAAATAAAAGAGGAGATAAAAAAAGTTGCTCCATTCATATTCCCTCCGTCACGTTGATCTTTTTCCCTCGTTTCCATTCATTATCCGCTTACGAATTCGTTCCTGACTAGAACCCCCCCCCCCCCCCCCCCCCCCCCCCCC